CCTGTGCTGGGGCCTCATTTCTCGTGTTCCTGCCTCCCATTTCCCTGGCTTTTCACTGTCCTGATTCAGGACACTTTAATTGCTCACTTGGACCACTTAATCCACCTTTCTGGTGGCCAGTAGCATGATCATCCTGATCTTCTCTTCAGAAACTTCTGGCAGTTCTCTTAGGCTACCCTGGTGTTGCTGTGCTTCCTGCCCACCTTTAAGCTCCATTCCAGCGGTCAGGTTTCACCTTCCTTGGTGACTCCTCTTGAGCTCCTATAGCAGTTTATGGTCCTAATTCCAGAAGTCCTGCTTTGGGGTGCCCATGGCTTGAACCAGTCAAGTGTCTTGAAAGATCCTACATGTCCCATTTCCTCTGTTCCACACTTCTCAGAAAAAGGTGAGCTGCTCTGAGTAGCACCTACGGAATGAGGGGAGGGTTGGATTCTACACTCTGGCCCTGAAATGTTAGAGGTTGAACTGGAAATGGCTGAGGCAAGACAGAAATGTGGAGGGAAGGGATACAGGTCCACCCCATGGGATGCAGCACTGAGCCTCTGGAAATAGAATACTGGCTGACCCTCAAGTTCATTTCTGAGCCATTCCACATACAAACGGAAACCTACGTGGTGGCTTAATTTTCTGAGCACATGGTAAGCTAGTATTCACATCTTTACCTCAAGAAAAGGGCTAATCCTGTAATTTTTAAAATGAATTACATATGCTTACAGAAAATTATGGAAAATATAAAAAGTACCTGTGCACCCACTGCACTGCTAGTGAAGGTTTTATGTTGTCATATTTAATTCCTATCTTCCTACTCTTTAAAGAAAAATTATAGTTAAAGCCACTTGTAAATCCTTTGCCAAGTGCTCCCTTCTCTGCTTTTCCTGAAGTAGTCCTAGTTCTCTGAATTTGTCATGTTTGCATATATCCTATTTACGTGTATATAAGTTTTGTTTTCCCACATTTAAAAATGTTTTCTGAAAAGTATTTTATAAACATGGCAAAAATTGCTTCATTCCTTGTACCTTAACCTGTCCCAAGACAGCTGCTAAGTTACTTGGATATTCCTTCAAATATTCTAGGTATTACCATAATTTTCCTGTATATATAGACAATCATAGACATCATTTTCTCCTACATTTTTTCACTTATTATATCTTGAAGACTATCCATATTAATACATAGAGAATAGTCTCATTTTTCTTTAACAACCATATAGTATTGCGTTTTATAGCTAAAACCATGTTTTCTGGTAATACTCACCTGGGTTGATTAAAATCTTTATGGAGATATAACCAAATTCTGCAACAATTATTTATATCCTATATTATAGCCACTTTATGAGTGTATATAATTAAGATTAGAATTCCTAGGCCATTTATAATATTGACAAACACAAATTCAAAATACCTCCATAGAGAAGGCTACACATTTATTAGCAGTGTATGTCCATGTAATGTTTCCCCTTTCTCTGGTCTTCACAGTGGCACTAATTTTTAAAATTTGCAAATCTGATAAAAATGGCCAGTTAATTTATATTTTTATTAGTGAGCATCTTTTCATGTTGTGCTTGTGTATGCATGTGAACTGTTTATATACTTTACAGATATACTGGGTTATTGGCTGTTAAAAAACTGGTTGTAGGGCCAGGGATTTAGCTCAGTGGTTCCAGCGCCTGCCTCGCAAGCGCAAGGTCCTGAGTTCGATCTCTGGTCCCCCCAAAAAATAAACAAAAGACAAAAAAACAAAAAAAACCCAACCTGGTTGTAGCTCTGATATTTATCAATATCTGGTAGGATTAGTTTCTTTGCAGGGATATTTTTGGAGTAATTTTTATTTTCCCACATAAACAGAAGCAGCTTGCCCAGATCAAAAAGAACCTATTTTATTAGGATTATGACAAATATGTAATTTAACTTAGGGAGAATTGACACCTTTCAAAATAATGTTGAATCCTATCCAAGAACATTATATGCCTTTTTTATGTTTCTCATTAGCATTTTAAAGTTTTCGTCCATCATATCAACTGGGTAACAATAATGTTTTAAAAGTCCCTCCTACTTTCCACTTTATTTTCAGTATCTCTTATCATTTCTCTTATTTAAAGACAATGGCTATTAACTTTCAAACAAAGCTAAATAATACCACACTGTCACCTTAGTTCATGTTTGGTTCTTTATTCATATCATGAACCCACCACCCAGCCTCAAACAAGATCATTAATCAATAACTTTCATTTACTTATTCTACTTCCCTGCCTCCTTTTACCTTTCACTTGGTAAACAACCAATTTTAGTTTTTTGAATTTTTAGTTGTGTTAGCTTTCTGTTACTGTGGCAAAATACAAGATGGCCAATTTACAAGGATGAAAGTTTTATTCTGGCTCACGGCTCAGTCCATGGTTGTTTGACCCTTTTGCTTGGGCTGGTGGCAGCAAAGTAAGCACATCATGGTGGTAGCAAGTGGTGAAGGCTTGTTTACCTCATGGCAGTCAGGAAGCAGGGAAAGATGCCAGGGTATCAATATCCCCTTCAAGGGCCTGTTCTAGATAATCTAACTTCTTTCTTGTCTTGGCTCTCATGACAAGTATTCTTTTCACGGTTTACTTCGTGCTGTTTTTCCATTTCTGTGTTGATTTTACTGCTTAAAACGGTTCCCAAGCATGTTGCCTAGTGTTCCTGTGCAAGAATGCTCTAACGCGGCTTCTGGAGAAAAGATAGACTGGATAAGCTTTATTCAAGCATGAGTAATGAATGGTGCTGTTGGCTGGCCCTAGGCACACTGTTAATGAGAAAACTACATATTAAATAAGGTCTTAAAAAATGTTATGGTAGCTTTACTCCTAACTGCTATAGAGAATTTAATTTTTTTCTTTTCTTCTTTGCAACGCTAAGGATCAACGCAGGGTTTTTCACATGCTTGGCAAGTGCTAAACTTTCAGCCCCTGAATACTTACTATAGGTAATAACAATCACCTGCATATACATGTCTAAATAAGTTTAGTTTCACTTATTTTTGTTTTATGAGTACCATAATGTGCACTGCTTTCTGAGACTGTCCTGTTTCATTCAACACTATTATTAAAATTCATTCTTATTGTTACTTATAGCTGCAAGGACAATTTTTTTGTTTTTGTTTTTTGGTACCAGGGATCGAACTCAGGAACTTGCACTTGTGAGGCAGGCATGGCACCACTGAGATAAATACTTGGCCCTGAAAGGACTTTTTATGTCCTGTTTAAAATGTCTCTGTAAACAGCATGTGGCTAGGGTTTGTTTAGCTTTGATATTCTCCCCCTCTGGCTACTTTAATACTTTTACATTTACTGCAGTTATTGATGGATGTAGTTTAACTATTTTGCCATCTTATTTTGTTTCATGTACTCTATGTTCATTTCTCAATTTTTAAGAAATTTTTTGCTTTTTCTTATTCTACATCTTATTACCTCTTAGAGATAATATACTGTATATATTTCCTATAATTAATTTTGAAATTTTAACATGCATTTAAAAAGATTATAGTTGACATTAACTGCACACACACAAAATGTAAAAACACAGAAACATTTTTGTTTTTGGTACCAGGGATCGAACTCGGGTCCCTGCGCTTGGGAGGCAGGCGGCGAAACCACTGAGCTAAATCCCCGGCCCCCAAAACACAGAAACATTTTAACTATCATCCTCTTCCCACTGTGTTCTATTTTTAACCTCTCAATTTGCTATAAACATTATTTTGCGATATGTTTACACTTCCCTACATGTATATCATTACTATCCACATCTGAAGATCTCTACAACTCACTGTACAGTATTTCTTAGAACCAGAAATGAGATCCAGGGTTGGGTTCCTGTTGCTCATTATTTTCAAACTATGTTTAGCCTTAAAGTACCTATCACTTATGTACCTTTACTGTACATCAGGCACTATTCTCTGCAGGTGTTAAACTGACATTTATTAATTCATTGATAACTCATGGACACCCTAATGGGTTATGTATTAAGATCTACATCTTGTGACTCCTAGAATTTCTCTCCTAGTTATGTATCTCAGAACCAGAATGAGGATCCCAGGCCTTCTTGATTCCCAGTTGACTTCACTTACCTTTCACTCCATTATGCAATAAACCCTTCACTCCCTGAGTAATGACTTCTTTTATTCTAAGACATCTTGCAGTGCTCACGTACAATCCCAGGATATCTGCTCAAAGGGATGTTTGAGGTCACTCTGGCAAATACTGAACCCTACAAGGTCTCTGCGAAATGTCACCTCGATGTGTTTAGCCTCAGCCATTTAAAGACCACAACATAGCCCAAGGCTGCTCTTGAGTTACAGACAGTACCTAAGCACTTTCTGAGGTTTTGGAGAAATTATTTTAAACTTTCACCCACAAATTCTAATACTGTCTCCCTGAGTCAAAGTCACAAACAGCTCTACATTACTATTCCACATACTCTTTTGTTGAGTCAAATTAACAATCCAATTCTCAACTGTTTTTCTCTATGGATTCTCATTTTCATTTCCTGGGCAAACCAGACACTGTGAGTGGACACTTTTCTAGTTATTCCTCACCATGGAGAAAGCTGTCTTTCTACCAGCACAGACTCACAGGTCTCAGGACTGAGATCTTTTCTTTTTCTTCTCCTCTCACTTAAGACATTTCCAGGCCCTTCAACATGGTGCAGAAGGCAACAATGGTGCCACCTTTGCACTGTCATCCAAGTAAGATGCTATGGAGAAATGACAAAATAAAAACATTCTGGAGGTCTAACTTGTACAGATCACAGGCACAAAGAGCAAGGGGAAAGTGCTACTATAAAACTGGTGTGCCAAGTAAGCTGTCTGGTGTGGGGCTGCATGAGGCTAAAGTGGCTTGGGCTGCAGGTGCAACTATTGAGGACAAGTCCTGTCCAACACATAAACAGTTTTACTTACAGTGTTCACTCTATGGTTTCTGTGTGAGCTCTAAAAGTTCTCCTTTCTAACCAGGAATAAACTCATATCAGATGGAATTTATTTACAAAAGGTAGACTATGTTTATTTGGAGTCACAAGTAGCTAACTTACTTTGTGACTCAAGACCACAAACCATTTCTCCTCCACTTTGTGCTGGGCCTTACAGTTGAGACTCAAGATAGGTAGGTGTGCTGGCTGGGACCCATTCACAGGTTTACAAGTTTCTCATTGAGGGCAATCTGTGACTGTGTAAGATTGGCCAGGTAGGTCACCATCAGCAGGTCCTAGAAGACAAAGGATAAACAAGTGAGAGGCTGGATGGAAAGGGTAGAAAGGTTGGTCATGGCCAGCTCCACTGGACAGTGGATGTGAGAACAGTTCCAGATAAATGATAGCTGGGAGAGACTGAGGAACTGAAGGTGGAACACAGGAAGAAAATGCTTGAGACACTTTCCCATCTCTACTGATGCACTAATAGTGTAGGGGCGCTTTAGCTGGGATCCACAGGTGGAGAATAGAGGGTCTGGGTACACAGATGGGGAAAATAACAAACTGTGTTTTTATCACTTTTGAATTTTAACATTTCTTTCTATCCTGAATCTAGACAACAAATCCCAGTAGCATCAGTAGTTCCTGAGAAAATGGAATCAGAGAAGGGACTCTTCAAACATGTGTACTACCTATTCCTTCCTCCCAATCTGGATAGCCAAGTGGCCAAAGGCGAAGCTTTGTTTCCTCTATGGTACCCTGCCCCTGACACCCAACTCCCTTCACAACCCCAACTTTGTGCTGAGGTGGGGGAGGAGGCAGGCGTCAGAGCCCAGAAATAGAACTCACATTGATGTTGCTGTTGAGCATGGTCTCAAAGTCCTCAGGAACTATCTTGGGTACTTGGTTAACCAGGCTCATCAAGAAGCGGCCCACAGTATTGTCAGCTGACACTTTTCCAGACTGAGCACCAAAACAAAGATCCGGTAAGGCACAGTTAACCCTTTCCACTACTCTGTGCCATCATTTCATCAGCACACCCCTCAGTGAGCCCAGGCCGGCGATCGACTATGTCCCCTTCTTTGTGTTTCTTTTCCCCTTCTCACCAGTACATCCTCTGCATATTGCAACACTGTGCTTAGGGCATCCTGGATGCGAGCCGATGCTCCCCCAACTTGCTGCAAGTCACTCGAGAGTCCGATCACCCGGTTGGGGCTAAAACAGGTCTTCATGATTAGGTCAACTGTGAGAGAGACAGGGAATTTATTCATTCATGCCACCGAGAGAAGGATAACTCTGGCCCCACCCCTTCTGGACTCAAGCTTCCTCAAACTCACTGCTCTGTTCCTATTGACTTTTCTTCCTTCTCACAAGCTCAATCCCTTTACCTGATAGGCTAATGACTCTGGTCTTGTATGAATGGACATGTGTGCTGATCATTGTAGTCTTCTAACAATTTCTCAAATAATTCCTCAAAACTCCTTTATGTAAGAGGATGAGTGTGACTTCTGGTCACCACAAACCTTAGATCAAGTTTCTCTGTAAACCACCTAAAGCTTTGATCCAGCAATAGCTCCCCCAAGCCCTCCAGGAATGCAGAGGAAGCTTACTCACCTCCAATACGTTCAGTGTCATAATATGCATATTTCACTGTCAGTGGTGTGAACATCACTCCCATGGTCCTCCCTGGGACACCCATTAAAGTGCTGCGGAGGGAGAAGTCAAGGTAAACACACAGCCTTGGTCTGAAAGGAGCAAAACTCACTTTTCTGAACTTATTATACACATAAAACCCTTGGTCTGAAAACTCAACCTCTGGCACTGGACTGGTCCCTTTAGAGGATTACCACACACAACAGTACAGAATGTCAGTGGCAAGAGGCCAGGACTCCAGATTTCTGTGGAGCTGTCTGCTGAGAAACTCATCCCTTTGGAAAGCAGAGACAAGAAATGGGTCTTTTCTGGGACTGAGTCTTTCATTAGCACTGAAAAAAACAACAGATCTCTGCTCACTACGACTAGACTGGGTACTATAAATAATCTCACTAAAAATGTCTTTACTATGTCAACTATACTTTCAACTGGATTTTGAGGAGTCTTATTATATAGCTATAAAAGCAAAGAACTTAGGCAACGGCTAGAACTTAGCGGAGCATTAACTGCCTAAGAGTTAGCTGGGCACATTAGTGTCAGACACAAACATCAAAGTTAAACAGCGTAAGATACACAAAATGCCTTCACTCTGAACAGAAGACTCTTTGCAATTCCCACAGCAGCCTCTTTTTTAGCCAGTACAGCCTTTCTTAACAACCTCCATCTACCGGCATTTGAACCACCCACAAGTTCACTTTATTAACAATTAATGTTACTGTCATCAAAACCACACTCAATCCCAGGTTAATAGATGTGTTCAAAATAAGAACAGTGGTGGGCGTGGTGGCTCAGGCCTGTAATCCCAGCATTCAGGAGGCTGAGGCAGAAGATCATTGCATATGTCTCAACCTCCTTTCCTACCCTTCCCTCACCAAAAAAGATGGTGATCCTTTAATCTGTAAGTACTGTCCTAAATTCTAGGAACTCTACTAAAGGGTAACTAAGAAAAGTAGTGAACTTGGTGAAGGACCATGATAAAGGCACTACATGAGGACTGCCTGTTCTAGAAAAGATGACATGAAGGAAGCACGAGAGCTTGCTCATGTCTAAAAGGCCACTGTTTACAATGGTTAAGAGGAAGCAGTACCTGGGGAACAACTAGGACCAGGGAGCAGAAATTATGGGGACAGATTCTGTTTCAGAGTGAAACCTTTCTTGAAATTCTTGAGGGGAATGAGCTTCCTGAAGAGGCAGTGAGTTACACACTGAAAAAATTAAATCTGCATTAGCGGGGAGGCTGGGACGAGGTGTCATTTAGGCAGGGCAGAAACCATTTTATGCCCTATGGCCCAGGACTCTGTGTTTACCTGACATAGGCCTTGATGCTCATGCGGCCGTTCTGGAGACTTGTGTCCACAGTAAGGTGAATGGGGTTTGGGGCCTCCCGGCTGTAGTACTCATGGATCAGCACAGAGTGCTCTGTGATGTCATGGCCTGTGGCGTACCTGGAAAGTGGAACATAACTGTGGACATATGTCTACATGTGACATTAATACCAAGCTAATGGTGCCATGGGTGTCCTTGACAACCTGAGCGATACCAAAAACAGACTCACAGTAAAATGCTAGTTTAAACTAAGTACTTCTGACCTCACAGGATCAGAATTGCCAGCAAAACATACTTAATTCACAGCTCTTTGAAGGCACATGCTTTGAATACTATCTTCCAAAGGAGGAAGACAAGCTCTATTCTAATGGCAAAAGACTTGGCAATGACTGAGACTTACGCAGTCCCACCCCTTTCCAACTTACCAGCCCAGGATGAGCTCATTTGGAGAGACTTTTTTGTGCAATTCATACATGTTCTTAGCAAATTCCATGTCAACAGCCACCTAAGAAGGAAGGCAGGATAGGAAGCTAAGAAGCCAGAAGTCCACAGAAATACTGGATAAAAAGGACAGAGGCCACCTCCAACAGTCAGAAAAGGCCTGGACGTATATACAATAGTACAAAGGTCCTTGGCTGTAAGAGCTTTAGTTTTTGAGCACAACCTACTGTGCAGGGCCTTGAGGGAGTCTGACAAATGACTTGGTATAAAATGCAGAAGGGCAGCTCAAACTCCCACTCACCTCATCTTCTGACTCATTGTGTGGCACTGAAAAGCAGTTGGTGACCTCCACTGAGTGCTTGTCAACAGTTCCTGTGAAAGAGAGAGAATTGTACATGTGTTATTTAATCCTAGGGCACTCAATGCCACCAGCTACTTCTGAAATGTTTTTGGAGGTCCCCTCAAAGTCGGTGAACATCAAATCAACTCTTTGTGGGGCTCAGCATCAATGGAACCAGAATTCTCCAGAGAATTAAAACTCTGGAGTGATCTCCAATGCCTCTCTCTCCATTACCAAATAGTTTACTCTTCTTTCACAAAGTTTCGTTTTATCTGTTACTTTCTCCTACCAGCCCTTTCCATACCTTCACCCTATTTTTTTTAAGCCTCTAGACTCTCTCCCTATAAATTAATCTGCACAGCTACCTGGAAGATTTTATGAATACAGTAGCCTAATCTCACATGCTAGACACATTTTAGGGAGTGCAAACCATACCTTCCTTTAGCATAGGCAAAACTCTTATCTATTCATGCAGAAAGCCTCTACCTATGAACCTTAAACACCAACATGTCAGTCTTTTATCACAAACTTTTGTTCTTCTACTTGATACTTTTACTACCATTATAATAGTTTCTTGACCACCAAACCACTAATCCTGACTTCTCCACTTTCTTATAATCTGCTAGCACTTCTCACCCCAGGCTTCATGTGCTTCCTTCTCTATAGACCACAGTGCTGCCTATACTACTACTGTTTATCCAATTCCAATTCAGGGTAGTTTCTGCTCCCTTAGCTGAAACTACGTGCCTAAATCCAAAGGATATACATTATCTCTTTCTAATTGTGCTTGGCCCCTCTTCTGACTCAGGTTTTCAGGGTTCTGTCTTAGTTCTAGTTTTCACTCTACATTCCTTTCTAGGCCAGGTCCTGACCTAGAAATGTTTTCATCAGTAAGAGTTTACATGCCCGATGGCTGATGTATTATTTATGGCTGCTTTCTTGCTAGAAAGGCAGAGTTGAGTAGTCATGACAGAGATTAGGCACACAAAGCTTCAAGTATTTACTGTCCGGTCCTTTGCAGAAGCTTGTCAGTTCCTGCTTCTGGTGATCTCATCAACTCTGATGGTTTCAATTACCTTCTATGTTCCAATAGTGCAATTCCTAAATTGGCACACTTGCACTCCAGACTCTCACACTCCTTGTTCAATTTTCTGCTTGGGAAATTTTTTCTACCTGACCAGCATGCTTGATAGGGACCTCAGAAGAAACATTTACCAAACTGAAGTCAACCTCTACATCCCCTTTTTCTTCCACACCTACGTACTGAGAGTCATCCATGCTGCTTCTAATTCTTCACTTGTGATCACACCAAGCCCTAACAAGTTATCCACTCCTCTGTGTTCCCGTTTCTCAAGTTCGTCCCTATTACTACAACACCCACCATTGGTAGCTAAGCATGGCTCACGCTGTCATTTAACTACTCTCTATAAAGCAGTCAGAGAAACCTTTAATTTTTGGTCTTGACTGAGACGCCTGTTGCTCCAGTATCTTCCCCAAACAGCTCCAAACTTGGTCAGATTGACATTTTGTCTTCTCATAGCTCCCCGTAATCCTCCTTCATGGCACTTTACATACTTGGAATTATCTAACATCTCTATGGCTCAAGTTGCTAGTTCAACTTCTGCCACATTTCCCTTCTCTCCTATATTCCTGTAATGCTGACCTCTTCAGACAGTGGACTTACTACGCTCTTTCACTCTTGTAGTTACTTTAATGCCCAGCTTAACTGTCGTCTTTCCTGTGAAGCTTTTCCCAACCTTCAGAAATAGATCTGTATTTGCACGCTGCCATGACCCTTCTATTAGAGTATTTATATTCTGTTTGCACATATATATTTCTATTGAGTTTGAAGTTATAGTAGAGTTCATTTGATCAAATTTTGAGTTCTAAGTACCTAAGAGTTTTATGGTTCATAAAATGTACCAATTCATTTAACCCAATGAAGTATGTTTCTCAAACTAATGTTTAATTGAGAAAATTGTAAGTTCCTAGCAAGCAAGGCCTGTGCTTCATTATTCTGTAAACACTGCTCTGTAATATTGAGCAGTATGGAAGAGCTCTGAGGATCTAGATTGCAGCCGATCAGATGATAGTCACTATAATAACTGGGGTACCAAACAAAAATTTTGGGTAGAGAATTATTTCTTTAGTTACACAGCTCTAGTGAGTTTGGAAAAACTGACAGCACAGTCAAGCCTCAAGACAGTGATGCAAACATCTTTTGTTACAGGAGCTAAAAACAGAGTTACAGAATGTTATACCGAGGGAAGTTAAGCACAGACTGAAGGTGGGTATGCTATGGAAGACTGATGTTTAGCACTTTTCTAGGAATTGATAAGATGGTGAAACTTAAAAGTAAGGACAGCAACATTTGTGGTAGAGGATACAAAGACTTGCTTTGAGAAGAGAGATGTTTAGAAGATAATGAATCAATTTAAGTTTCTGCCAAGTGTTAAGATGTCAAAAAGGTAAAGAGAGACTGCCTATGTTCCGGGGGTGGTATCAGCCTGACTGGATAGATGTAAATCAACAGCTGTACCTAAGGCTTTGTGTGATAATTTAGATCTCAGAAAAACTCTCTTAAAGAACCCCTGAAGGAACTAGACTTTTAATTTGACTCTGGGCACATGGCTGATATTTGGCGGCATCTGTCTACATACCTTGTCCTCTGCTATACACCAACTATCATCTACAGTAAGGCCTATTACAAGTTCAAGAGTAAGGGAGAGATGATGCATATACATACAGTAGAGTTACAAAGGTATTTAAAACTTTTTACTAAGATAGAGTGGAAATGAACTTATAAGACAAGCGGTTCCAGAGAAAGGAATGTACTATCAACATTCCTCTTTAGTGCTTTTCAGTTTTACAAACTATTTTAACGTATCTATCTATCTCTGAAATCTGGAATACAGGCAAAAAAAAATTCTTCTTCAATTATAAGATTAAGTATAGATTTATAAACAGAAAACGCAACTGTTTGTGTCCTAGTGGAAAATCGAGAGACAGCACTGGGGGAACAGGGTTTTACTACACTAGGAAATAATACCAGAAGAGGCCGAGGGACAGATCAAGCTCAATTTAGGAAAGATTATTATAAAATCCTATATAGCTTCTAGTCCAGTCTTGTCGGGAAGGGAAAGTGGCATAGGAAAACAGGTAAGAAGTCAATGCGGATGGGAGGAGAGGAGGCGGGACAGCAGGGATAAAACAAAATAAATGAGGTGGCCCACTCACCCAGCAAGGTTCCGATAACTCGGGCAGCACCCTCGTTGCGTCGCTCATAGCTGTCCACGATGGAGGCCAAAATAACTGGGTGCAGCCTGACCACGCGGCCGCCGGGAAAGGGCCCCGGGAGCGCCGGACCCTGCAGCGCGGTTGCCGGGCTCTGCGTTGAGGTCGTTGCTGAGGCTGGGGTCTGGCCCGGAGCTGCTGGGGCGGCCGCCGCTACCGCCGGATCCGAAGACGAGGCCGGCGCTGGAGCAGCGGCCAGCGCTGGAGCCGGCGTCGGCGAAGGAGCCGGGTCCGGCACTGGGGCCGGAGTGGCTGGGGGAGCACTCGTGGGCGCCGCTGGCGTAGCCATCTTGAAGAGAAAGAGGAAGCCTGGAGCGGAAGGGGTTGTCACTTGGTGACTATTTGGAGCTTGATAGGCTCAATATGTACCTTGTGGATTAAATTTTGGTGCCTATTGGTTAATACTGATGCTTCTCTGGCACTCAATTTCAGGCTGTTTGTAATTTTTCCGGACGTTGTGCTCTTTGCTTTCAGTCCGGTACGCACCCACTAAGACGCGGCGTTATAGTTCCGAATAAACTTGGGACCTCATTAGAAAAGAAACAAATAAACTCAGTCTACGTAGATGCCTCTAGGTGGAGCAAGAGAGCAGAGCAAAGGTCGCAATTCCCGTTTCACACCTCTGTGGGATAATGCTGTCAAAGTTCCTTTTAAAAGCGCTTTTAGACAGCATCACAAGGTGTCATTACAGAGGTTTATTCGTTTAACCTAATATGTGGCAGACGCTCCTTTAGGCACTTGGGATGTATCAGTGAACAAAACAAGCAACTTTACATTCCAGTGGGGAGAGAAAAATAATAAAATGCATATTATGTTAGAAGACGCTATGATTCATATACACGTAGTTATTAATGTTAAGTTGTGCTATGAAAAAGGAACAATTCGCAGAGGAAAAGGGGGAGTTGGAAGTGGGGGGTTCAGAGTAGCTTGCATTGAGAATGTGATGTTTGAGTGGAGCTTGGAGGATTCAAGGTTGGTAGCCATTATTTAGGGGTTCTTGGGGGAAGAAGGCAGAAGCAAGCCTGGTGAATTTCAAGGGGGCTGTGGTGGCAAGAATGTTCAGTTCAAAGGAGAGTAGCAGGATGGATCCCCTACAAACCACATGTGTTTTAAGGAATGGGCTTTTGTGATTATAGAAGGAAGCTGAGAAATCCCAAGTTCTGCGGTTAGTAAGCTGGTGATCCAGGAAAACTGGTGGTATTAGTTCAGTCTGAAAGCCAGAAGGATCCCAGAAGAGTCAGTGTTTTAGTTTGGGCCAGAAGGCTAGAGAAGAAACTAGGCGGGAGGAGGTTTCTCTTGTTGGCAGGAGAATTAGCCTTTTTATTCTGTTCAGACCTTCAACTGATTGAATGTGGGTCAATACTGATTCAAGTATTAGTCTCATCCCAAACACAACCTCACAGACACTTTCAGAAAAATGTTTGGAACGTGTCATGACCTATTCAAATTGACACATAAAATGAGCCATCACATACTAGTTTCTGGTTGTCCCGAGGAACATGCTTGCGATGTCTTGCCTGAAAAGACCAGGGTCACATCTGCCAGGGGGATTGATCACATTAAAGGTGAAGCCTGTAGGTTTATGTGCTCCTACCTTCTTAATGATTGAGAGCCTCTCTCTCTCTCTCTCTCTCTCTCTCTCTCTCTCTCTCTCTCTCTCTCTCT